TAGGTGGTCGAATAGGTGGACATTTGAGATATACTTTGTGTAATGTTTCTCAATATAATGTCATAGTTTTCATTTTGATTGTTTTATGCCACTCTCAAATGGTCGGATAGGTGGATATTTGAAATATACTTTGTTTAATGTTTCTCAATATGGTTTCACTTTATCTATTTTACACTTAAAACTGAAAATCCCTTGTTGTTGCAAGATGAAGGGCATTTTAATAGCTTTGTAGAGTAACGCAGAACTATAGAACAATATTAGCTTATTGATAGCTTTTGTTACGATACAGACATTAATATTTCAAGTCTTCAAAATGGTTATTTTGGTTATGATAGAATATAAATTTAGCTCATTTTGGACTGAGACGTAACAAACGTTCATGGCGATGGCTCAGATTATTTTAGATGCTAAGCATTTAACAACTTACAATTTGTTTCTTCTGCGCTAAAATTAGGCTGCTGATTGATTGTGTACAACATACATGATGAGCTCTTTTCTATCACTGTAATACTATATTCTCCTCCGCTGGAAAGGCAACACAAGAAGTTCTATACACTATAATTTATGTCTTGCCAAGCTCAGCGCTTGCAGATTTTTCAGTCCATCTGGGAAATCTGTTTGTTAGAATTGCTCACTAAATAATACTGATATTTGAAGATCGCTTCTCTTCGATTTTGACGCTATTCAATCTTATGTAATTATAGCTGGGATAATATATTACACGTTGTCTCATTGAAACGCTTTCACTGCTATAAAATATATATTACCTTTTGTTAGAAAATTGTTCTGCATAAATCATAGTTTTAATCTACTGATAGAAATAAGCAATAACAGAATGTCTGAATATTCTCGCCATTTTTTCAATCAGAATTTGATTTTATATTTGGATTAAAACTCGACGAATTCTACTGAAACAAGTATTTCAAAAAATCCGTATAGTTGTTTTCCAAAAATGAAGATCTGGTGCGTAAAATGTAATGGTATCAAAATAAGTATGCATTCAGTTTTGTAATTGCAGAATTATCGTTAAGCGAAATTAATTATAATGTCGACCGTGAAATATCTGTGCTGTTTCGTTATATTGGCGTTACACATCAAGTTATCATATGGGGATTGCAACATAATGGCAGAGTGTGAAAATGGCTTGCAATGGAAAAGATGGACGAATAGTTACGAACCAGGGAAGCCTGGAAAACAGGTGACTTTTTATAATGTTGATGTTGATCGTTTTTTTAGTTTTTCAATTTAATCCATAAATAAGAAGATGCAAACGAATTTGATATTGAAATACCTCACTTCGTAATATTTAAGTTCGCAATCGGCACGGCATATGAGGTAGTTGTTTATAGAATAGATGATGCTGTAATTCACAGATATTCAAAAGAAAATTAACGGTAAAATATATATTTTCAGGGTGCACCAGGACCACACGGTCCACCTGGTGCTAAGGGTGAACCAGGAGAAACGATTGAGGTCATTCCTGCACCTGAAAAGAATGAAACAACACCCGTAATGCACTTTCTGGGCCATACGGTAACTTGGAACACCGCAAAAACTTTCTGTCACGTTACAGAAAAGAAACTATGTAGAACAAACGAACTGTGTCCCAGCAACCGAGGTGGACGCCATATGATTCACGATGCTATTCCAGGAGATCACTGGGTCCCAGTGCTTGATGGATCAAACAAATGGATGCAAGCTGGAGATTCTAGAGGTAAGTTTGTTTTATAATCAAATTATTTTGTCAGAAATGTTGTTTCAAGTATATATACTTGAAGATATTTGCTATTGAAATGCATTAAATTTTAGAAAAAAATTGAAAATAAAATAACTGCATGCGGTGAAGCTTACATTCGTCGTTCGCTCCGAATAGGGCCTTGTACAAGATACACGGCTTTAATGCCATATGGAAGGAACTACTACTATATTGTTGAAGGTTTCAAAATCGTTGAGAGGGAATTCATAATCGAAATATGCAACGTATTACTTAATATGGTGTAATATTTTGCATTTGCCGCACGTGAAAAGTAACGTCAAGCAAAATTCATTATTTCGTCATAAATGAAACTATTACAGCAGTTGCTAGCAAGACTGATCATGCAAGTATATCTAGCAATAACTTTATTTCGAAAAATACGGTCAGCTAAGCGTTTCTATTATTCTTTGATACTCAGGGTTTACCTGTCACACACACACTGAAACAGTCGAAGGAATTATGGCGCCATGGGGAACCTCCAACAGTCCAGCTCCTTATAAGGGTTATGTGTATTGTTGTGGAGAGAAATATACAGGTTAATCGAAATATGCTTTTTTGTTTTTCATCTTAATTCGATAAAATAAAGCATTTAGTGTTAATTGTAATAAAAGTACTCTACAATTTCTAAGTAAAAACCAATCCCTTCCTAGCAACTGATGGAGAGTCAGAGAAATGATCCATCTGACTGTAAATCTTCTGAAACCCGATTCTGAAATCGACAAAACCCGAAGTTGAAGTTCGAACCATGATTTTATTCATAGTAACGCTGATCGTACATTTGAATCCATACATTTGCACCGGTATATCCGCGGGTTCAATCTACATGATTGTGCTAAAATCCACGGGTTATGGTAAGCAGGTGCAATTGTCATGGGTTTAAATTACGGGTTCAAATGTACGTCGATTCAAATGTAATGTAACCATAGTAACATTCTTTCATGTACTCCATTGTGTTTGTCTCGATTAGTTTCAGTTGAATTCAACCACTACTCACTCATAAGACGCGACGAATTCGTGCTTAGAATACGATATATATATCACGACGTGAAATTAGAAGTTATTTACATTTTCCCTGTACGAAAATGTGCTTTACTTTTTTAGTCGCTTGTCCAATCATTTATAAGTAAGTTTTGTTTGGATTTAGTGCTCAAGTATGCTCATTTGAAAACTGCTTTTACCGTGATAGGAGAATTGGCAATTTTGAAAAATGGTCAATAAATTTTTTCAACATTTTCATTATTTCAATGTCAAATTTCATGATTTTAATTACCGCCGCATTCATTAAAAAGGTCCACGATATCAATACATTGGGAAGGCAGCCACATATGATATGTCAAAACAGCATTGTGTAAATCAAGGCAGAAGATTGTGTCATGCAAGTGAAATTTGCAACAACAACGAACCCATATATGGTATCATAGCCCGTGATGCATGGGTTGCTGCGAATGATCGTCATAATGAATGGGTTCAAATTGGCAATGGTGAGTTGATAGATGTTTTGATAAAGCAATAACATTTATATAAATCAAAGCCTCCAATCTGTAGAGGTTCATTTAATTTTTCTGTAAATGGAGATAGAATGTTTGACAAAAATCTACAATAACAAAATGATGATAATATGTTCTAACTTCATATTCCAAAGTGCAGCTCAATTTTAATTTTTAGCAAATACATGTGCTTTGCATGGTGCCCTCCATTCGCCACCCGCTTGGGGAATCAGAACTGATGAAACATTATATGATTTTCTTGGTTTCGTACTCTGTTGTCAAAACTAAAACGAACCGAAGAGACCAAGAATGAATAAGCCAACGCCAGAATGCTGACTATAAGATCAAAGAAAACAATATTTCTAATCATTCTATGTTGTTTTTACTATTTTTTTGTTCCTAAATCTTGTTTTTAAACAAGTATTTTATTATGAAAAGCAGTTGAGGGTAACAAACAATTTGCAGGTATATAGACTTTTATCCTGAGTTTTGGTGTTTGTAAATTTAACCTTACGTGTCAAATAAATAAATGAACACATCAGTGTTCTCAATCGTGTCTTATTTTTATTATTTTGCGCCCCATCTAAACGGCGCCCATAGCATGAGCCATGTCTCCCACACTCTGGATACGCCACTATTCAAAAGACGCCAGGCGAGTTTAAGGAACACTTCAAATGCCGCTGCAAAATCGCTCTCAGGGAAACGTTTTTCGATTTTTTTTCTGAGCCACAGCCATCGGCACCCCGTGGCTACGCCTACGATACACAACTTGATTGTTTTCGGTCGATGACATACCACAACATTAGTACAGATTTTGAACTGTGCTGAATACGGCTCCGTCGCAGATTTGTTGCTAATCTCCACACGATAAGTGAAAATTAATTGATACTTATGGCCACAATTACGAAACCTGATCGCTAGAATTATAAAGATAAATTTTTATAGAAATTTTTTTTTGTTTTTGGTAAATACTTTGTAATAGTTCGTACAGGCCGGTGGTCACTTTCTAGTTCATTAGTATTGAAGATAGACGATAGACGAAGATATTGACTTATGTAAATATAGCTGCCGAATTCTGGTGAAAATAATTCGGTTCTATTATCTTTGCACTAATGAACTACCACGGACAATTGTACCCAAGCATGGGTTTTTGCACCCATAGACCAATGAAATTTTACACCGACGAAAAACAGCTTTAAAAATAATTAAACGCGTTGCAATTTTGAGCCTTGCTGTGCAGTAATAATTAGGGAGTTACGTCATCGAACGCATCAAGCGAAGCATTTGCAACCTACGTATGTGAATTTCTCGGCCACGATTTTATATATATTTATGGTTGTGATGTCGTTTTGCTTAAAGTAAAGTTAGGAATAAAGAAAACGCATGATACACAAATACGAATTAATCCACTTACGTATTTGTTGTTGTGATGGAGGTCGTTTATTGGCCGAGCATGCTTAAATACGGACCATGTTGGAATGCATGGAAAATGTTACCCCAGTAAATGCTATTTTGTATTATCCCAGTTTCCCTATATCTACCCTGTAAAGCGTTTCTTGTCCAAATAGACTGTAGATAAGGGAGAAAACAAACCGGATTTGTAATAATTCATTCCAGTATTGATCAAATCACATGTATACCAATAATAGAAGCACAATTAACCATTTTGAGTTTCCGTCATTATTCATTACATTTATACTGTTTGCGCAGGCAGAAGACAGAATCGAATCATATCTAGTATTTTCAATTTCATTTCGAGTCCTTCATTGTGTCTTTCGCGCCATCGATTATCTTTCGATAATGCTCACTAGAATACAGTGCCCAGGCGTTTAATATGAAAATCATATGTGCTGGTTTCTGGAAAACCGGCACAAAAAGTTTGGCGGAGGCTTTGACAATACTTGGGTACAAAGTATATGACTATGATTATCAACTGTTCGAATTTCCTCAGCTGTGGAATAAGTTATTTGACGGGACAACTACTGACGATGAAATTCGCGAAGAATTAAAGGATGTTGACGCTATCATTGATGGACCTGCAATTGCATTTTGGGAAGACATATCGAGTGCGGTTCCAGAAGCAAAGGTGAATTTGTTTTAAATCAAATTTAATGCGTGATGACCTCTATTTCGATACTTAGATACGCGCATATGGTCGTCTCCGACAAGAAGTGTAGTTTTAAATAAATTTAAATCGTGACATTTATAGGTAATCTTGACGACAAGAGATGAAGATAAATGGTACAATAGTTTACTCGGAATGGTGAATAAAACTCCAGCGATTTTGAGATATTCCTACCCTTTAATATTCTTGACACCAACAGGAAGAAAATTTCTTGGAACTGGTTTGCGAGTCTGTAAGTTAAAGATCTCATATTAATGTATATTTTTCAATAGTATTGCTGTATAATTAAACTAATTTCACAATATAGCATCTTTTAGCCAAATTGGGAATTACTTGCGAAATTTCTGTACTATTTTAAAATGATAAAGCTAGTCTATAGTTCGGATGAAATGTTCTGCTGGTACGATAAATTGCTTATACGTTTAGTTACTGGCGGCTGGCACGCGCACACACTCACATCTGCGCATTTTACAAAACATGATCGCTTTTGAAAATTAATTTAATTAATAAATATATTAGTGGCTAACAATGACAGGAGAGCCACAATGTTATTAGAGTAATTAGACTCTTAGCCTCAGTGGCTATGAAGGGAATACATTGTCAGACATAGTTCATCGCCCCAGAGATTGAATAATATTCATCTTTAGAGGCATGCTGGTTTTCATTTAAAACGGAAACGTTCGACATCGTCACCTTCACAATATTTGTGAGGGAATCAACAATCAATTGTTTAATTCCTTACAAAGCGGAATAGATGAATAGGAAATTGTCATCATTCTGTATAGAGTATACTATATCTAACTCTTTTCTAACAAAATGTAGGTCATTTCTTCGTCCGCCTGAAAATGATCTGTAGAAACCTGTAATATGTAGATCTATTTTGTGATGCTGGCATGCCTATTTGAAATCAAATGTTGGGTGAAACAATGGTTTTCATTTGTGATGAATGTATAGAATTTATGTATTAAACGTGGTAAAATGGGCAAAGTAGTCAATACTTCCTTAGCAGATGACTGAGAGCTCTTCATTGCATGTCTTTTCAATACTGGTATTTTATGAGGCTTACTATTTTTTATTATTGTTTGCCGTAGTTTTGTGACCGATTTCATTTCTATAACTCGAGTAGTGTTATAAGCAGTTATATATTTTACATCTAATAATTTATTTCATGTTTAATTATATTCATATTTATTCAGGGTTCTATTGCTTTGGTGGCGGCAGTCCTATGTTTATGACGAAAAATCCAGGACTACACAAGCGTAAATTTCGTCAACACAACTGTTACGTTACTTCTTCCGTTCCAAAGGAAAAGCTTCTAGTTCTCAATGTTGGAAGCGGGTGGGAACCATTGTGCAAATTCCTCGGAAAAGATATCCCAGATATTCCATATCCACACAAAAATAAGGACGCCTCACATCATACAACTGAAGGAGGTCCTCAGCACCCTAAAATCAAGCAATTAATGCTAGAGTTCATGCTTGTATTGGGTATATTTGTAATACTCGTTTCTTACATTTTTTACTTTCTATATATTTACATTTGCACATGAAAAAGTTAATTCAAGACTACCGGAAAAGCATGACCGCCTGCACGCACATAAAGAGAGCGGACGCAGGACGAGTTTACATAGTTGGAGTTAATGAAGTGTACTGGGCTCTTTCAGCATTACGACCAGGGCTGGGAAGTTGTATGGAATCACAGCGACTCCAGCTCCAGCCACAATGTACTCAAACTATGGCTCTAGCTCCAGAGCTTTATTTATCCGTTTGCGCAAGGCTTCGGTTCCGGCTCCATAGCCATTGTAGTTTTTAACCACTAGCATGGAAAATCAGTCCGAAATGCAATCCGCAGAAGCTGGACTCAAAAGTGTGATACAAGGGTTTTTCATTTTAAAATTAATATTAGAAAGAGCGATGCTCAAATATATGGACACGAAAATCAAAGAGAAGAAGTAGTCGTCTATCTTATATTTTACAGTACCGGTACCGCCAAAGAACTTCCGACATTCGCGTCGCACGAGAGAAGCTGGAGAACCCTTACAAATAATTTGTATTAATTTTCAAGAGGTCATCACACATAATTTTGAAGTGAAAAACGAATTACATAGAGCCCACAGAAAGTTTAGAAGTAATAGCCTTCTAACGAAAAATACAATCTTTAACCACTGAAAATTTCAAAGCAATTGATGCATTAAGTCAATTGACCCATAGGTCTACTTTGCGTCCAATAAGGATATTTTTTTCATTGGTATGAAGTATTAGAAAATGATTAGAATCTGGAGCTACTGAATGTTCTGTCATATCCAGCTCCATCTAATATGGCAAGCTTGGCTATAGCTTCACCAAAATATCACGCATCCATGGCTCCAGGCTCTGGCTTCCCAGCCCTGATTACTAACTAGGGCTGGGAATTTCAGGTAAAACACGCTCATCGTTGACCGGTTAACCGCAGCGTGACGTTTGAGGTGATAATTTTAGCTGATACGTCACAGTGGTTAGAAAGCAATTTCGCGTGATCTCATCCCGGCATCTCTCACAAATTTAAATAGTTTCGTGTTCGCTCTTAATTAATCATAAACTTCAATCATAAGAAAATTACAGCTTATCTAGAATTAACGTGGAGAGTCACGTGGGACTATTGGATGGTGCTGTATTTCAATGTATCCAAACGTGTAGGACAGGGTGGTCGAAACCCAGGCTCGGGGGCCACATGTGGCCCGCTGTATCATTATCTGTTATCCAATTCCACACAATTGATGCTTCATTTACTCAAAAATACATTTTCATGTCAAATTTGACCAATACCACACTTGCTATCCGACATTTTATTTAGCTTTAAACGCCTATATTTAATTGCCTATTGCGTATATGTAACTATTTCATTTTTTCCCTTTGAAATTTAATGTTACTTTTGGACACACCTGAAATATGTTAAACCATATATATCTGAAGCATCTTCTATTCATGTTTATTGATATTAATATTGGGTTGTAACTAGAGCTCGACCATATATCGGTTAACCGATACATCGGGTCGATATTACGTGTTTGCCGATTTATCATATCGGCAGTAAACCGCCGATATATATCGGCAATATTCGGGCTAGCGCCGGGCTGCGTGCTTCAACGACTCTCGCCCTGCGTAACTGGTTTCCCAATATTTCTCTCGCTCCCATTTTGTGTTAAAAATATGTCTTTCATAATTCCCGGTGGCATATGATTATCCATTATCCATATGACCATTATGCATAGTCATAATTGAAAAGTTATTATCCGGAGTAACATTTAAAACAAGAATATCGGTCGGAGACCGAAGACTTATCGATCAAAATTAATTGCTCACTCTTACTCCATAGCGACACCACGTGTCACATCACTAATTAATTATTAACTCGCTAATTATACGACATAATTCATCCAAAATCAATAGGCTTCTGGTCCGAGATACGATGAATGCACATGCAAATTTGGAGGTAATATAACCATACCATAATATATAACCACCTCAATATAACAGACAGACAAACGAGAATATCGGTCAGAGACCGAAGACTTATCAATCAAAAGTTATCGCTCTTTCTCCATAGTGACACCTTGCGTCCCATCACATCACAGCAGAATGAAATTGTAGGGCCAGAAAAAGGGAACAAATTTTGAGAAATAGACACCAAAATAGGCTCTAAGCTTGATTTTAGATACACCTAGCATCGCAGTTTGTTATGTAATGAAATTAATAATTGTAATATTTAGCTGATAGAATTCCCGAGAAATAAATAACAAGCACGGCTTTCAGCAAGTAATTTGCAACTGATAGTGACTAATGAAGTTACTTGCTCACCTAGCATATGGCATCGTATGAATGGCTACTTATGGCTTGTTTTGTTTCACGTTTTTTTGAACATGTTTGTTTGACTTTTGTATGGATTAAGCAATGAATTAAATTTTGAAATACGCGCGTCAACTGATCATAATGTCGCATAATGTTGTAATCCTTCAGAAATGAAATATTTTGTTGGCTAGGAAGACAAATCACTGAAGTTTGATTCTTTTCAATAAAGAAATAAAAACGCTGCCATTCATTTTGTGACTACTTTGAGCTTTCTTAATATACGGCTGATATCTAAAATACTGCAGTGTGTAATCCTAATACCCACACGTATACATAAGATACCGGTATAATTCAATTGTTACGAAATAAACGGACTCAAACTGTGATAATGATGTAACGATAGACGGTATCTAAAACTCAAAAGGTACCACATGAAGTTAAACTATTTCACTCAAGTTCGGCGGGCCATTTTAAATCGTTTTAATCGTTACGCGGGCCGTAATTGGCCCGCAGACTGCGGTTTGGAACCCCTCATCTACACTGCTAAATATGCCATAGTCGTTATTGGACACCTTTAGTGGACATAACGATCGTTTTGTTGTTCTTTGACACTTTTTGGACACCTAGTGGAAATATTGAAAAACCGCTTTTCTCTTTGATCACTGGACCGATTGCTTTGAAATTTTTAGTGGTTAAAGATGAAAATGTTTCCTCAGAAGGCTATTACTTTTATTTATTTCAAATATTCTGTTCGCTCTGTGAGATTTGTTTTTGTTTGCTATTTGTTTCACTGCTTCGCTTGGTGTGAATATATTTATAGACTGTGGTCTAAAGGCACGGTAAACCGTACCGGTACTGTACTGCTTCGCTTGGTGTGAATATATTTGTAGCCTGTGGTATCTGCTGTTATATTACCGTGATAAATCGAATAAGTTGGTTTTGCAAAGAAGAAGCGTCTGGCATTACAGGTAGGAGGGGGAATAGGCAAAAAGACTCATCTCCTCACCCTCATCGGATAGAAATACATCACTCGAACAATCCTTATAAGCGGAAGGAAAAGATGTGTTATGCGAAAAGAAAACAATGACAAAGTATCTCACAATCTTAGAAAAATCTCAAAAGGCATTGTATGAAGTGGCATATTTAATCGCCAAAGATAAAAAAAAACACATACCATTGGAGAAACGGGGCTCCCGAAGGATGCGAACCAAGATGGCGGACATCGGAATGCAATATGTGTACTAGGTTAGGGTTAGGCCATAATTTTAGGTATAAATACTACGGGAGGCTCTTGGCTAGTCTTCGAACTGATAATAGGACTAAAATAAGGAAAATTGGAAAGAAATTATCGCCTAACCTGTTACCCATGTTACGTTCCGATGTCCGCCATCTTGGTTCGCATACTTCGGGAGCACCGGAGAAACACTAATCAAAACTATTGCAATGAGTTAAATTATGAATGTAGACAAGGTAACTAAGGAAATGAAAAAATACCAATATCTGTACATACCATTTGCCGACGTATCAGCGAAATGGGTTAAGATATTAGGTGCCAACTGATTAATAGAGTCAAAGGAGGAAAATACTAAGTCTGGTTTAGCGCAGTTGATTGTGTTCGTTAGGTATATAAGTTACTCAAGTGCTTGGCGCTTTCTGGAACATGCACTGGTCAAGACATATTCTCAACAGTGGCGACGAGACTACAGAATGAAGGATTATCATGGAAGCGGTGTATTAGCATTTGTACTGATAGGGCTGGGGCCATGGCGGGAAAACAAAGGTTTTTTAGCAAGAGTATTACAAATTGCGCCTCATATCAATTTTACACATTGCATGCACTATAGGAAAAATCCGGCTAGCAAAACATTGGACACACCAGGGTCCGCAAATACGGGGTCGCGACCCAAGTTTGGGTCAATCGGCATAAGTGCAGAGATTGACGTAACAATAAACGTTTTAAATTTAGGTTGATATTAAATTTAAAAATAAAAGTGATGTTATTCAAGTAACGTATTTCTTACTTTTAGCCTACTGCGATTTTGTAGTTGTCAATTTTGAAAACCCGATCTTACATAAATGTAAAAATGCCTGTGAAAGCTTTTTTTGCAAAGGGTATTCAGATAGCAGTATTGCCCAAAAGGTTGCCAAAGTAGCTACCCTATAAATCGCAAAGACTCTTTTCAACTCATTATTGTTTGAAATTTCAATCAATTATAGATGTTATTAGGACATTGTCCGTCTTTTGCGTCACGTTTCTGTGGACCGGTAGTAACCTTTCCGCGGCCCGGCGGTTGCCTTCCACTGATTTAGTCATTCAGACAGATTTTCATGGTTGTGAATATTACCTCGTTTTGTCAGTTTTCGCGTGTTATTTGTTAGATTTTAGTTGTGTTTTGGTAAATATAAGTCCTAGACTCGCAAAACCATTCTTGAAATAAGTACCAATAATTTTGCACTGGTAGAGTGTAAAGAGGAAGAATTCAAGAGACCAAAAGTCGGGGAAACATTCGTTACTTAGTTGTTCGCATTGTTATATCCTACTACGTAGACTTCAGGTTCTCAAAGTGATCTGTACGGAGCCTCAGGAGACACTTAGGGCCTTCGCGAGCTATTTGTTTACTTGAAAACTGTCCTCGACCCGCTGCCCTATTTCCATCTACTTACCTATCCTCGACCCACTGCCCAACCTCCATCTACCTACCTATCCTCGACCTACTGTCCGATTTCCCTCAACTTTCCTATCCTTGACCCACCGCCCTATCTCCCTCAACCTTCCAATCCTCGACCCATTACCCTATCTCCCTGTCCTCGACCCACTGCCCTATCTCCCCAACTTTCCCACCCTCGAACCACCACTCTATCTCCCTCAACCTTTCTCCTCTCGACCGACTGCCATATCTCCCTCAACCTACCTATCCTCGACCCACTGCCTTATCTGCCACAACTTACCTATCTTTGACCTACGGCGCTAAACTATTTAGTACCTGACATAACGGCGCTTTTATCATACCCGATCGCCACACTGAACTTTACTATCTTCCGACCAACTTCCATCGGTTATACTGGTCGTGTATGCCAATGAGATGATTCAATCGTACGTCGACAAAACATGATTGACGGCATTCGTATATGTAGACTGGAATCTCAAATGGTAAACAATAACCATAGTTGGCAGTTTAAAAATGTGTTACTAATTGGGCTACTGATGGTTTCTTGTTGGGAAGGACAGTTTTCTAAATTTTAACAAGCCGTTTTATGCCCTTGATAATTGGCCATGTCGTGAGTTTTGAGTAAATAAAAAAAGCCTCTTTGTGCCCTTAGTAATTGGCCATGACGTGAGTCTTGTGACAATATGATGCTGATCCGGAATAGGCAATAGTGCTCTGGTCCGTATAAAGTCGTTTTCTTCAACATTTTAAAGTAAAAGCGATGCCAAAGATTACGTTCGAACTGCGTCCGAAAAGATAAGCTCAATTTTGAGACTATACGCTGAATTAAAGAGCCGTTGGCAACGCTAGCTACGACAAAACACTTCATGGTTCAAAAATAGATTGGAAGGGATTACACTCACTGAGCGACTTAAATAAACTCACTGAGTGACTTTTCAGCCTTCTCAGTCACGTAAATAAAATTTGTAAATAAATCTGAGTAGGATTAAAAAATGCATGATGTGACAGAACATTCGTTGAAAAAGACCAAGCGTGCAATTATTTGATTATTTCCTCATCATTTTGCCTTGCACGGAAATACATGCGAAATCGAATGAGTTTCTGGAAAGGAACTCAGATATGTCGATATCGAATGGCCTGTTAAATTTTAAAAACGGTGACTCCAAATAGATGCCATCAGTAGCCTAATTAGTAGCACATTTTTAAGCCACTAATTATGGTTATTGATTACCAATTGGGATTCCAGCCTACATTTACGAATGCCGTCAATCATGTTTTGTCGACGTACGATTGAATCCTCTCATTGACATACATGACCAGTATAACACATGGAAGTTGGTT